CACTGAAATACAGTAGTTTAAATCATTTTCATTACACAAATCAACAATTTTATGCTTACTGGGTGCCTGCAAGCTTGTTTTCTTGCTTCCTGGCCCTGCTCACATGACTCCTAACAGCCCGCTTCTTCACAATAACCCTCTTTCCATCTGTCCATTCTTTCTCTATCTCGTCCTTGCTCTATGCCCTTCGCTACCTCTCTTTTTCCCTCTTCTAGTCTATAGTCGGGACGTTATCTGTGTTACCCTCTAAAAAAGTCATGGTGTTCTCCTCTGCTTGATGTCTTACTCCAGCTCACGAGAGGCTGGTCTCATAAAAGTGGAAAGGGACAACTCTCTGAGCTGCAGTCTTGAGCTCACCACATTAGTTATTCCCTGGGAGATCTTCTACGTGCTCTGCATCAAATTTGTGTCTCTTCCTGTCTCACATGGACACACATTTTTACTCTATTATTCCCCTGCATCTTCTCGGCCCATCTTTCAGGCATGTCTTTCTTTCTTTTTGTTTAACATTCTTTTTCTCTCCCATTTGAGCTCACATTTTCTGTCTTTTCTTTCTCCTCGCACTTGTTTTATTCACCCTATTTTTCTGTCATTTAAATCCTATCCTTGTCCCTCCCTCTGTCTCTATATCTACTTCCAAATATTTGGCCTTGCTCTCTCTTCTTTCCCCCCCTCTCTCCTTTTCTTACTTTCTCACTGTACTGTATATCCCTCCAGAGCTGGATACAGAAACCTCCCAGTTGGCCCTGTCAGCCCGTCCACAGTTAGCAGGGCTGATCGATCAGTGGAGCTCCTGAATTCCCCTGAAAGTTAATTACTAAGTTACACATTGGAGCTATTTTGGGAAAAGGGGGGGAAACTGTAGGAATCATTAGCTAGGTAATGTCATGACAACCTTCCGCAGCAAGCCAGGGCAGAGCAGGCGCTGCCTGTGGATATGCAATTTGTCTGGGTCATCTGAGAATGGAACAGAACATGGGAGGATGTTCAGATAGATTTTTATAGAGTTGCTTTTAAATTGGAAGTAATGTTTGTGTTTGAGTTGAACCTTGGTATAGCTATTAAAGCTAGGGTCCAACGCCTGCATCTTTAATTATTCAGTGATCAGATAGGATTTCATGTAGGTGTGTAGTTCTTCTCTGGCTTATTTTTGTTAAAACAAGATTCAGTAATGCATTTGAAATGTTGGACTCGTTTAAAAGTGGTGAACAAAAGACAGATATGTCACACAAAAAACACACACTTGAAAAATGTTTGAAATAAGAAAATAAATAAAGTCTAACATACATTATTTTTTTAAACTTAAAAAGTTACAAGCATAAAAGGGCACATTTGACTTAAACATGATCGTTTGGGTTTCCAAAACAGCTGGTGGTACCATATCATTGGATGGACTATGGTAGCTCTTTAAAAAAGTAAGCATTTTCCATATAATCCCTAGCTATCAACACCTTTTTTTGACTAAAGGAACATTTCTTTTCTTGGTCTTATAACTGTAATCTCAGTGGGTTGAGTTCAGATGGTATCAGGATTAATTTCATGGTGTCAGCATTAATGTCACTACTGGTCCATCTTTCACAAAGGTAGATGTTTTTATTTGTTTTTTCACTATAGCCTTTCTGCCAGACATTAAAAGTGTGGACTAATACATCAGCAGGAAGTTTGATAGTTTCAACTGACCTCAAAAGAAGGGTTGGCAGACTGGTTGCTGGAAATACGAACACAACTGCCCATTTTGAATTGATTAAACATCTCCTATTTGATTTGGTATGTAGACAGCAGTGTTATAGCCCGGCATCAGGGGCTTTGAGCTGAAGGTTATCTTATCATAGCAGTAAGCGCTCCTTCACAACAAAGTAAAATGAAGGTATTCATTCCAAAACCAGATAAACACAGTGCTATCTGAAACTCAGTATTTCAATATTTCAAAACCATACGTGACTCATTCCTCAAAAACACAGCTGTAAGGTACACAAAAGTCTCAAGATGATGCATAACTTTAATAGTAAATTGTAAGAGCAGGTATGTGACTCTAAATTCCAGATGCTTATTTTGTGTGTCAAAATCAGTGACTCAAGATTACTGTCCCAACTACATTGTGCCTCATCTATACCTACTGTAGCTCTAGCACCTCCATCCTTCACAGTAGCCAGTGTTTTATCCTCCATAGTATAGTCACTAATTACAGCTTGTAATTCTGCTCTGACTGAACTTTAAAGAGACAATCCTTGCCAGAAGAATTTTAAAGTTTTATCCCTGCTTCTCTACCTTTTTAAAAGGATCAATATTAAGTCACCCTAGATGTATATCTGAACAGTCAACTGCTGCAGAAAGACACGGCAAACTGTGCAGGTCTTACTTCCGTGCACTGTATTAAAGTTAATGTGAGCAGTGCTCTGGTTGAAATTCACAGCACCACCCTGAAACCACCCCTCGAAGCCATGTCAGATCAATGCACTTCATCCCTCCCTTCATCTGCCCACATGGCACTCAAAGCCTGTTCTGCCACACAAATTACTGTTCTGCTGAATTATAACTTTGTTGGACCTGGCAGTGTACTGTACCCAAGGCATTCTGAAATATCACTGACAGACTGAGCTGTCAGCCCGGATACATCTATCACCTGGAGAGCAATGTGGACCAGACAGCTAATATCCAGGGGTCTTTTACAACAGCGTGTGTCTGGATCTGGACAGGAAGTCCCCCACAAACATTTCAAAGTCTGTTAGCCATCTACTTGAAGTCTGTTTTGACAGTGAAATATTGTCCCTTGTGGATGTTGAAATGAAAGTTTGTGGTGAGACCGGCCTTTACACTGTTGTTCAGTCATCAACTGCAGGTCTTAAAAGCCAGTGTTATGTTAAGTTTATGTTTTGTTCATATAGATTTGTGTGCCATTATAGGTTGTGATAGGTTTGATAGGTTGTGTTGCCTAGAGAGGATGCACAAGCCAGTAGTCAGAAACTCAAAAGTTTCTTAGCACAAACATGATGGTGGTAGATAATGGAAGAGAAATGTAAGTTGCATCAAAAATAAAATCAACTTACTGTAGTTTATTCTGAAACAGCTCTGCAGCTCTTTTTGTGATCTTAGAGCAGCTCTGAGCTAACTAGCTAACGGCAGCTACAGTTAGCGGGTACGCGATTTAACAACAAGTAAAGCTATCAGTCCATCAGTAGAGCTGGAGGACATCAGAGAGAACACCAGAAAGAATTTTAGTTGGCGATGGTGCAGTGGATAAGACTATGCCTTTGGTGTGAGAGACCCGGGTTCAATCCCCCACTGTGACCCATCCACCATTGTGTCCCTGAGCAAGACACTTAACCCCTAGTTGCTCCAGAGGTGTGCAGCCTCTGACATATATAGCAATTGTAAGTCGCTTTGCGTAAAAGCGTCAGCTGAATGAATAAGTTTATATGTAGTTTCACCAAAAAGTTGTGTTTTTGTACAGTAATTGGTGAGAAACACTGTGCATCTATCATTTTTCCAACTTAATTCATGTCTCATTTGTGGTCTAATAAACAGTAAATTCATCAAATTCAGGTTAAAAACAACAACTCATTTGGTCTTTTCAAATGGAAATTATCTATGTGTTTATTTGCTTATAGAGCAGGGTAGTGAGATCCGATCACATATGGAGACACATTCTGATGCCAGGTGTGAACTGCTATCCACTTGTGATCGGAACACCTGAGACGCATGTGAATGCCAGAAGTGAAGTGGGCCATTGTTTGTGGCTAATAAGATTGGTTGTAGTAAACAGCAGCAACACCCAAATCAGCTGGTTAAAATCACATACATATATACACCATTACCTAATGGTGTATTTCTTTACAACATCTGAAACCACCTCCGAAAAATTATGTTCTCACAGTGACCATATTTAACGCCGGTTTGATATTTTCAAGAAGCAAATTTTATTTTGACAACAATTACTAACTTTCTTTTGAAAACCATAATTATCAGTACATACATCAGAATATAATGTTTATGTAAATAGTGGAATATTACATTTGGCATGATTAACATGATATGTTTTATTTCCAAACATAATGCCACATTTTAGTTTTCCTGCTTTTTTGTTTTTTTCATATCAGATCCTAAAAGATGGAAACATTCTTTAATAATATTTTAACAATATTTTAGTACTAAACAGTCATGTAGCAAGTGCAGTTAATAGTATTAGTCCAGTAAATGCGCTGTGTGTGTATATTTGTGATTTGCACAGTGTTACACTTAGATGGCTCCATTCAGATTTCGATCCAGGTGTCTGTCTCCTTATTTAATGACCCAAGTGTTATCCTGTCCCCAGCTAATATTGACCCAGGGTCACACACTGACATACATCATGTCAGTGCCCACGTGCTTTAACTTCGCATTCAGTCACTGGCATACTTCATGCTCTTCTTCCAATTTTATACTTTGTGATAAATTTAATAGTGAGACCACATGGCACACACTCTATACTTTGCTGCAAAGACACTGATTTTATGTCTACTTAAAATACTGGGCTCAATGTAAGTTTAAACTGACAACAAGAAAAAGATTCAGTTTCCAGATTATAACTGTGACTTTAGATTTTGCGCTTGGCCACACAGCTTGGCGACAGGTACTATTTATGGTGCCAAGGGGAACCAGTGAAGAATAATTCTTAATTTGCCGTAAAGGTGAATTGAATTGGATGGCCATTTCAGTGAACATAAATTTCCCTTAATGAGAAGAATGATATTTGGCTAGCTGTGTGTCCTCTGACACGCAGTCTTTTTTCATACTGGATATCCTTCACTCCCGGACAGCTGTTTATCCTCCCCGGTCCACTAGTAATGAGATGGATGCTTAGAAATGTATTAAGCTTGGCTACAGTTCCACTACATCAGCACACTCGTTCTGATTTGTGATTTTCTCTGCCATCCTTTTTTCTCCTTCTTCCTCCATCTTCTCATTTGTCTGTCGTCTACACGTTATTTGCCTTTCTGACGTCCATACTCTCATTCTAACAGAGGTTGTGCAGCTGAGCCTGGCGGAGGACCAGCAGATCAGCGTCTCCACGGTAACAGTGGGCCTAAGTGCCGTCCTTACCTGTGCTATCCAGGGGACATTGCGCCCGCCAATCATCTGGAAGAGGAACGGCATCATACTAAACTTCTTGGACCTGGAGGACATCAACGTGAGTGCATGTTGTTGTTTCTCCATCAAGGTTGATGCTATAGTTTGTTGCTGTTGGTGATGATGAAGGTATGTGTTTCTCAAACACGTGCTATGCCTAATGAATAACTTAGGTTGGTTGGTTGTTACTGGTTTATAAGCTTGGAGTTTTTTAAGCAAAAAGTATGTATGCGTATATGTAGTGAGGGTTGTCTTAGCCCTTATCTTTCTGGTTATGACAACATCACTGCTTATGTATACTCAATTGATCCCATAATGAATACTATTAAAGCAGTATTAATAGATTTTTGGCGACAAGGGGCAAAAGAACTCCAAAACAACCCACACACACATACGCAGCCCGGATATATTTAAGCTGTCACGGCTGATGTGTTTGCAAACATAAGAGCAACATTATCATCCCATTGCGATTGTGTTCGTGTTCTCACTCTCCTTATAACTCTTGATTCGCTCCACTAACTCTTAAAAAAAAGTATTTATTTCGTTCGCTGCTGTAAATGTTCAGCCCTCTTCACCAGCTAGTTGCTAACTTTCTCTCTGCAGTTAAGGGCTATACAGGTAGTGTACAGTCAGAGTTTGTTTGCTGATAACAGCCAATTCCTGCTGCTGGACATGATGGATGATGAGAGCGATTGAATCATACAGTAAATTTACTGCAAACCCAAAGCATTGAGCTACTCATTCACTATGAGTGACCCCTTTAACATTACACAAACCACTAAGTTAATATTATTTATACAGAACATATTTATGAATGTAGATCTATGTCGTGATCCTGAGTAGAACCTCTTTTTAAAATGCTTGAAACCCATAAAAGATGGTGTGCATGCTTACCACCCTAAGGTGTGTTTGTTTTCAAAATGTTTCTTTCTAGAAATATAATTGGACCGCTTCATTAATATTTATTAATATTTATATTTATAAGCTACAGCAGCAAGTGGCCACAGTTGGGGGGCTCCTCATATTGATTGAAAACAAGTAGTCTATAAACACCTTTTAGAAATGAGAAAATCACATTGCTGCTTAAAAGTGTTAAGAGCTCTGGGAGTTTTTCCCGCTAATTTTAAATTCTGAACACATTGCAGCACATGTGCAGCTGGTGCACTTGTATTTTGAGATTCCGCACCTGCGCAGTTTTTTTGGGTGCACACTGACATCCACATGGGCCTTCACAGAATTCGTCAGATGATGAAATGTACATAGTGCGGACCTACTTGGACGTCAAAACCATCACTTGGCTTTAAGCAAGAGAGGAAATGAGAAAGGAATAGTAGCAAGAAAAAAGTCAAGGATCAAACAATAAGGTTTTACTCCCAAGCCCTCTCCATGAATCAGGAGAATTATAACTTGCTCAGTGCTTTATGAAGTATGTGGCTATGCTACTGTTTAGACTAATCTGCTCAGGTGACAGCACAGCACTGGCCTTGCTTTACCCACCACCGGATCACAATTCACTAATTGCATGTTAATGAGCGGCCTTGTTGGTCTGCTGTGATGATGAGCAGATAAACAATGTCAAGTGTTAAGGTGGAGACTGGAGGAGAGGTGATGGCAACAGAGGTCCCGCAGGCTCTAGACCGTGCATAATGAATTTACACAGAACACAGTGAGAGAGGAGCCCCGTCTGTGTTTGACTTTATTTTTCAGTCAAATCAAAGATGATGAAAGTAAAAGTCCCTAAATTAATGAAAGAAAATTATCATGTGTTGACTGGATGTCAAATAGGGCTGCAACTAGCGATCATTATTTTGTTGATTAATGGATTAGTCTATAAAATGTTGATCACTGTTTCCAAAAGCCCAAGAAGACATCCTCAAATGTTTTGTTTTGTCCACAACCCAAAGATGTTCACTGTCATAGGAGTAAAAAATATATATAAGAAAATATTTACATTTAATATTTATTTATTTAATAATTGACAACTAATCACTTATTTGATTAATCATTGCAGCTCTAATGTCAAAGCCAGAAAGAAGAATAAGAGTTGAACGAATGTCAACTTTTTGTGGCCAGTTGGTCAATTTTGCCAGTTGAGCCAGTTTTTGTATTTCAATAGACGTCCTGGCTTAATAAAGGATAAATACAAATGGAGTACAAAATGGGTTCTTGTCTGTTAGAATAGTAGATGTGCAGCAAAATAAGGGGAAGATGACGACACCAGAAAAAAAGAATGACGAAAAATACAGTAACCGTGAAAACAATACGGGACTTGTGTTCTTGTTTTCTTCTATGTCGTTCTTTTTTTTTTTTGTCCAACATTTTTAAGATTGTTAAGGTCAACTTTAAACAATGTAGGTCAATAAAGAGACGAGGGAGGGAAACTTATATACATCCCTCCATCCCTCCATTTACTATAGCCGCTTATCATTTAAAGGGTCGTGGGGGGCTAGAGCAGCTGACATTGGGCGAAAGGCGGGGTGCACCCTGGACAAGACGCCAGTCTATCACAGGGCCTTAGTTTTCTGGCAAAGTCCTTTCAACACACCGTTTTCCTCCATTGAACTGTGTTTAATGGAAACAGGCTTGTTTTCAGAAGTTTCATTCGACAATGATTGAAATCTTTCTGCACGTTGGCATATAACCCCTCAGCCCGAGAGCTACATTACAGTCTGTCTCATTTGACTGTTCTCTCCCAGCCGCTCTCTGGTCTTTGTTACCCTTCTGTCTGTCTCTGCCCACCTTCTTCTCCACTCTACTGTTTTCATTACATTTCTTCCTCTCTGTTTTCTGAGTAGAGCTATGTTCTCCAAAAGTAACTGCACTGTGTATGTTGGATAGTTTAGTCCTGCCTCACCAGGTCTGATTGGAAGAGAGCAAAAGGACAAGCAGTACTACAAACAGGTGTAGACAGAACATCAATATAATCAGCTATAGCTGCCTAAACTGTACCCACTGTTGTCCATCATTGTGCATTTGAGAGAGATTGGAAACTGATTCACTCAGAAATGAAATCAATTATGTATATTTCCTATTTAAACAATTACTACACAGCTACTTTCAGTGTAAACATTAAATGAATGTGGCTCTGAAGTTTATTGCATCATTACTATTGTGGATTATGAAAAGGCAGTGATGATTACTATTGGCGAATAGGTCAAAGGACATAAATGTAGTTTTGCTTTCCAGATGTATTGACTTGATTAATTTGAATGTGGCCACTGGCCATCCTCATCTATAATTCTTCCACTGCTCTTTCCAATACAAAAGCATATAATTTAGCCTCAAAAGTTAACGATTCCCATTATGTTAAGATGAGCTCCAATTCACATGAATGTCTTCTTAGTCACTAATGACACCAGCCAAGCAGACTGTAGCTGTATCTTAATCTGGTTGGCTAGTTTGGGACAGTTTCAGTTTGAGAAAATACAACATTAACAAATACACATACAACAGAACATTATTACTGATTCTGTGTCAATACCCCCTTACTTACAGTTATATTACAGCCAAGCACACCTGCAGAGCAGTTAGCAGCTGCACATTAAACTCCTATAATGACCTTAATATCAAGTCTTATCTTTTACCTGTAAGACTAACATTTCAGTGCCCTTGATGATCATCTGTGACATAAAAATATCAGATTAGCACACAGTCAGATAAATAAAACCCTTATCACCCTTGCCCATGTCCATTGCAGTTTGGTTTGAAACTAATTTAAAGCCTACCAAAAAAGTCTGACTATATGAAGTTAGAATCAGGGGCATCTCAATTGACGATCCAAATAAATAACATTCAGGAGACGGTCCTACTGGATTCCCCCTTTTTTCACAGGAACCACAAAGAGACTTTAAACTAAATTTATATGCGGCATAACCTGCCAGACATATTACATACTTACTTTTGAATAATAACATACTTTTTAGCCCAAATGGCCTATTCAGCTTTAATTGCCCTCGCTGGTGTAGTTATATCTCTCACCTTAATTGTACAATCTGAACTTTAACGTCTGCCTGAACTTCCCCCGTCTTTCTTACGAGAAAATCATTTCACTTCTTCCTGTCACAAGGCGACCCCCTGTCAGGTCACATTAATTTCTGGAGACTTCAGAAGGAAAGCAGCCGTTTGTGGTTTCCATGTCACAACAGAGCTGCATCAGGACATCTGCTCTGCCACTTGGTGGGACAGCAAACTATTTAATGCCTTAATCCGCCCTAAGCTGTGGCTGGAACCCCCTGGTGACTGCCGCATGCTGCACCAACAACAACCGGCTCCATTCATCAACCTAATGGGCTTTATATTTTTAACCCTTGCCATTTATCAGGCTGAGGCACCGTGATGAGGGGAGAGAGGAGGATCAAATTCCCCAACGCCTGCTTCAGCTCAACAGGGAAACCGTTGATTCATGGTCTCTCTTCCCCTTCACATCACTCTTTTTCTCTCTTGTCTTTTCCCATCATTCCCTGCTGTTGTGTGCCTCCTCTTTCTTCTCCCTGCTCTCTCCAAGCATCCTTATGTATTCTATCAAGCTACCTTCGGTTCTCCCTCACTCCCTGTGGCTCTTTTCTGCCCCCCCCCCCATTCTTTATCACTATTCCCTCTCCTCCACCTCCTGTTCTTTCTCTCCCTTCTTTCATCATGTTCTCCCCCCCCCCCCCCTTTTTCCTATTCTGTTCTTCTTCACCACCATACACGCCTTTTCTTTCTTCACTTAATTTTCCTCTTCCATTTCTTCCTCATGTTACAGGACTTTGGGGACGATGGCTCCCTGTACATCACCAAGGTGACAACAATCCACATGGGGAACTACAGTTGCCATGCCTACGGCTATGAAGACCTCTATCAGACACATGTGCTGCAGGTGAATGGTCAGTAGTGGCTCATTTCTTACTTACAGTGTGGACAAAATGCTTTAGTTTTCTTTGTGCTACTCTCTGGTTCCCCACTGAGGGGATTTTCTTATTGTCTTCTCTATCAGTGAAGAATAGTTAAAAACTGTCTCCAAGGTGTAGCATGTCTAAAACTAGCTATGAATTTTAATACATTTATGAGAAATAATACCCAATTATGAATTTTAATATTCAGAAACTATTAACCATAAAAATCTCTCATTTCGGGGCACCACCGGAGTTATTATCCTAGAGTCTCCAGACCTCTAGGTAGCTTTTAATAATTATACAATTATCTAGCGATATAAAAGGGTGGCTAAAAATAATAAACAATAAATAAACAATGAGAATGGAGGTTCGATTGTGGGAAGCATTTGACTCATACGGCAGAGGAGAACTAATGAAAGTAAGCTATGAGTTTAGGAGTTAAAAAGACAATATTAACATTATGGGACATCCCTGATCACAGAATGTGTTGTTGGTTCTTACTGCTTGTCGGCGGCCTGCTTTGGCCTGTTGCACGGGTCCCACGCTAGCTGTCCGATCCTGGCTTTTTGCTAGGTTCTCACATTCTCCGGGGTTCTCCGTGTCTGAGTGAAGAAAAACCTCAAGGGTTGGCTGTCCTCCATCTGGCAATTCGGCTGTTCTTCAGGTGTCCTTCGTTGCCGCTGGCGAGATCACGTAGCTTGGTCTGACCTCAGTGAAGTTGGCTCGATGAAAAAGCTTAAAAGGGAACTTGGTCGTTCTTTAACTTTAACAAAACAAAAGAAGGAAAGAAAATAAAACAAGTAAAGTTGCTGGAACTGAGGTAAAAATCGATGTCGCGGCACTTCGCGTATGTAGCTTCAAGCGAAACAAAGGCTTTGTTGCGCTGGTCGGAATTCTTAGGGCGTTGCCGGGAGAGGCACGCCGGACGCATGCCGAAGCGTCCAGAGAGCAGAGCGGAAGACGAGCACGAGGAGAAGAGAGCGGGCGACGTCGTGTGTCGCTCTTTCGTGGTCTGGGGCGTGGTTCCCCCAGGGGGCGTTTCCGGTTTCCCAAGGGACTGCCTTTCTAAACTTTTAATGTCTATAAAAGAAAAGGAAAATCTATTTGCGCGTATTATAATCAGATATTTTCCACAATCAAACCTCACTGGTCAAACAGTTGTACCGTTCTAAGTTAAGCATTTGGTAACAGGAAAACAATTGTCAAATTATTGGTCATGATAAATGAGTGACATTTATACATTAACGGCATTTCCGACGATGGTATGTAATACTTATTTCGTCCACTTGGGGGAGCTCAGGTTACATGAGGAAAGTTTAGATTAATCCAAACAATCTTTCCTTAGGAACTGGGGAATTTAGTTATTTAGCCTTAAAATCAAGCCGGCGGAGTATAGTATGACATTTCTTTATCATCATTTCTAAAGGAATTGTGTGAGTAAGTATTGTGAACAAGCATTGGTTACACATAAGGTGACGGAGTGTCCTTAATCTTGCTGAAAATAAAAACACTGCAAAAGTAACTTATTTAGATTCTTTTCAGCACTAATATCAACAACAGATAGCAACAACATGGTAACATAACTACTCAAATGTAATCAAGTAACTAAAAGATTTAATTAAACAGTTAATGCTTTGACACTTTGGAGACTGCAGTCTTTGTTTACACAAAGTTCAGGACGGTCCGTGTTGCTCTGGATTTTGTCACATAGGCGTGAAGGGGTATCCCTTTGATGGGGTAATGAAACACAGAGCAAGGTCAGTTGCCATGGTGGTGTGGGAGGGGGGGGCAGTTTAGGGTTTCCTGCCCCCCTCTAAAGGGGAGTTCTGATAGGCTGTTCAGGGAAATGCTAATCGCTGGTTAATGTCCCTTTTTGTCAGTTTAACAGTCAAGCACCACGTTATCAGGCTTCAGGAATCAAAGGTGCCAGTTTTACGATCAACTGCTCAGGAATAGCACTTAGAGAGAGTGACCTCCACCCCCATTCTGTTGGGGTCTCTTCAGCCGTCTGTTGAAAGTTGATCTCAACCTTCCTGCTCCTCTCTGGGAGAGGAAAAGAGGAATTTGGAGTAGCTCCAAATTTATTTAATATAAAATGCACAAATCCACACTGTTGTCCACTACAAAGGCAATTAAGCCAACATGCTGTTGATTTAAATGTCTGGAAACAACCATAGATACATTAAGTACAGCATTGTCATATGGCAGTGGTTCCCAAACTTTTTTGTCGGGCATACTTCCACAGCCATTTTAGAAGGACTTAAGTGTCCCTCATTGTGCCTTATGCATGAATGATTTCAAGCAATTGTGCTGATATCCATCATGCTGATATCATGAGACAGCTTTTCACCTCGACAAGAAATATCGTCAAGTTTTAATATTGCAAGCTCTCATCACACCCCTAATGTGGATATATAATTTAGTTTTTTTACCAAATATGTTCTATTTTGTCATATGAGCTAAGCTACTCCACAATCTTTCCACATACAGTACCCCTTTGTTAACTGCAGAAGTGTTACCATTTAATGCTGTGAAAGGAGTCACAGTGGTTGTCACATGGGCTGCAGTATTAATGCATTGCATGAATGATTTATGTAAACAAGTGAATAAACAAAACGCTGATTAGGGTTTGTGAGACTTAAAGTATGTTTAGGGCTGCAACTAACAATTACTTACATTGTTGATTCATCTGCCCAATATTTTCTCACATCTGACGATTTGTTGTCTAAAATGTCAGAAAAATGGAATGCCTATGATATTTTCCAAGAGCCAAGTTGATGTCTTTAAATGTCATGTTTTGTCTGACCAGCACTCAAAAAAAACATCAACAAAGATATCAAGTTAACTGTCATGCGTGAACTACTGGTCGGACTCAAAGTCTCTTCAGTCACCTACTCCTTCAGTTCCGCAACAAGGGCCGCAACGGGAAGTCATTCCTGCACACTGCAATTAAAATATACAGTGGCTCCCCTCTGGCCAGGGAGAGGAGACTTATTTCTCCTGAATGACAATTGCACAATGCACATCCTTCTACAGTCATTTGCCCAGATATAGTCAAGGGGACATCTATGTCTTTTTACTTCTACTTGTGTATAGTACATATTTGTAAATTTGTTAATTGTATTTTAATTCTTTATATTTTTTTATGTTTGTTTTTGGTTTTTTTGTAAAAGTCGTGTACCTACCTAGCTATCCACACTGCTCAAAACAATTAAGGGGACTCTTGATCATCACATTATAACATCAAGTCAGGTAAACTTCAGGAATATTTATCGTCCAGTTAGGAAACATAAGTGATTGTGAATCAGTGTCACTTGTTTTGCTTCAAATGAAAGTAACAACAGATGCACTGGAGAGGCATCAACAAGACAACCCTCAAAGGGAATGGTTTTGCAGGCGGAGGCCACAGACAATTGCTCTTTCCCTATTCTTCCTGACTGATAGTTCTGTAGTTTTGCATTTTGCTAGTGTTCTTGTCACTGTTGGTAGCATGAGGTGGTACCTGCAGCACAACCTGAAGAGCATAGAGGAGGTACTAGGAGACAGGCCGTTATATGAGAAAAGCTGGAGATCAATCCAGCAGCAACACCGGTATCTGCTCCTTTGTGAGAGGAAGAACAGGAGGAGCACTGCCCGAGCCATACAAAATAACATCCAGTGGGCTACTCGTGTGCATGTTTCTGACTACACTGTCAGAAACAGACTCCTTTAGGGTGGCATGAGAGCTTGACGTCCTCTAGTGGGATCTGTGCTCACAGCCCAGCACCATGAAGCGTGATTGGCATTTACCAGAATTGGTAGGACCACCATTGGTGCCGTGTTCTCTTCACAGATGAGAGCAGGTCTACACTGAGCACGTGTCAGACATACAAGAGTCTAGAGACACCGTGGTGAACATTATGCTGCCTGCAACATCACCAGCATGATCGGTTTGGCTTTGGGTCAGTGATGGGCTGGGAAGGCATATCCTTAGAGGGTACATACAGACATCCACGGTACCCTGACTGCTGTTAGGTACCAGGGTGAAATCCAGAGCAGTTGTCAGACCTTATGCTGGACACCATCTGCTGCCTCATCAGGATCACGTGGGGGCCATACACACTACTAGTGACTGAATGAGTTGCCGTGATGAATGTCACGCAAGTTGGATCAGCCTTCTTTGGTTATGTGATTTTGTTCTCAACAGATTATACAATGTACAGTAAATATTTTGAACTTTATACTGTTTTGTTCATAGATACCTGATGTGTGATTTGAGTGGTACCTTAAATTTTTTTAGCCGTGTATCTAATTATCTATCTATATATGACAAAGGAAAGCATCAAATCTTCACATTTGAAAAGTTTAAACCATCGAACATTTAGCGTTTTTTCCTGAAAAATGACTGAAACAATAATTCAAATCAAAATATATCAATAGTTTCTCCATATTATGTAGATTTCCTGTATAATTAAGCTGTGCTTTAGTGTAGAAGGTCTTGTTTGGCAAAACAATTTATTTTCCCTACAGATGAAAAGTATCCATAAAGCTGTTACCATAGACTGTATATAAAAATGGATGTAGCGTCCGTGACATCACCCGTTGGTTTCTGAAGAGGCGTTTTGAAGCTCAAAATCACCGGAGCTGGCCGGCGCCATCTTGGCAGCGCGTCACTGCGTGTCACTCCCGGATAACCAAAAATGGGAAAGAGGCGGGCCGTAGGTGGAGCTGAGGTGACATGTTGCAGAAACCACTCGTGCCTAGTTCGAAGTTACCAAGTTAGCTCAGGCTAAGGAGCTAATGCTACTTTGCGATGCTGTACAGTGGAGGTTGGAACCTGCGGCCATGTTGTTACCAGTTTACCGACATTACCAGCTCACAGTCAAGGTAAGACACCAGAGAATATTAAAATAACTCACATATCTGTTATTGACATAATACTTCACAAGGTTTTAAATGCTTTTTAATATATATAGTAACATTATTTTGCAACACTAACGTTAGATTTTGTT